TCTTTCTATCCTCCTAAATCCTAAGAATGTAATCTGCTTGATACGTTAGTCCTTAATGTTCTTATTTCATTTTGAATTGTCAACCATCCAGGATTTCTTCTACAAGAAATTAAAGATTTTTGGAGAGTTGCCTTGCTGATGGCTACATTGTTATATCCCCCCAACAATGATTGTACCGAAGATCTTCTAAGTAAGAACTTTGAACTGGAAAGACGAAGAGCCTTATTTATAGCAGCTGAAGATGCCATACTTAAACTAGGTATCATCTCTTTTAACCAAGCATCTAGTGTTGATATGAATATGTTTATTAGTTTTGATATTAATTTGGAAACTCCCAACTTTCCAATCTTTTGTAGTTTTGATATGTTTCTTAGTTTTGATGTCAACCATTGCTAAGGGTCTCTTTGTGAAAACAATGCTTTGTGACTAGAAATCTATCGGTGTCATTAACTGTTGAATATTATCTCTATGTTTTCTATGTCAGCATGTGCTGTCATTGTGAGAGTAAATTAAACAAGATGAACTTTTATCGTCTCTATTCTTTTCTTACATAGGATATATATCACAGTAAAAATAAGTCTCCAAGCATTGGAGGAACTTAAATGGCATCTAAGGTGGCCTCAAACATGGTATATGTATGTGCTTGAGTATGCGTGTGTGTGTGTATGATATTTTGTAGGATATCTAGTTTAGATCTTGTCCTGGAGTTCGATGCCCAACCTGTTTTTTTAGTCCGAGGCAGATTGCCCTTAAGATTTTCTCAGGCTTTGGGAGACAGCTTGGATGCCATTTCTGATATTTGTTCTGGTGCATTAGGTCTTGATAAAGTTTGGGATGCAAAACCACTGCTGAACGGGAAGGAGATCATGAATGTTTTGCAGCTTAAATCTGGAGGACCACTTGTGCGAGAATGGGTAAGCTATAAGTTCTGATTCCAGCACCGAAAAGAGTTATTATGGAACTCCAATGCTAATGTATCCTTTACTTGGCAGCAACAAAAAATATTTGCATGGCAGTTTGCTCACCCTTCAGGAACTGCAGAAGAATGCCTTGAGTGGATGAAGGAAACACATTCGAAACGTTTAAAGATGGAATGATACTCAAAGCAATTGCCTTGAGAAGTGCGGTTTTTCTAGCTTTGCTGGTGTTATGGATGGATTGATTGCTGAGAACAATATCTGTAAATTCGGATCCTTGCAGCGAGCGACATCCGGTTCCGGTTCACCGTTTACAGAAGCGACCATGCTCAAGAGTTTGCAAAAGCACTATGACATTTGCCAATAGTCATCGTAATGCTACCCTGTTATATTTTTTGTCTCTCCGGTACAATATATGTAATACAGATGCCGGGAACTTAGGAACATAGAGCAACTCTAACCCCGACCGTTCATGTTTACATCAAATATGTCATTTGCCAACCTTGGTGATAATTTGAAGAGATTTTACTAGTGAATTTTGTACCTCCGAACTATGCATCAAATTTTATTAGCCACTGTTGAATTTTTTCTTTACCAAGTTGAATTGCAGAGCTTGAAGGTATGTTAACATCTACAAGACATGGTATTCGTCATTCCTGATGCACGGATTGGCCTAAAACACCTCCTAGTTCTTTAAGAAAATTAAGGTGGTGTAGCTAGTCGCGCAGTCAGAATGGCTGATAATTTTAGACAAGTTGAATGATCCAGTAGATGAAGAGGAAGAAAAGGATGGTGTATAACTCAACGTGCTTTTTATACCATATATTTGATTGCAAAAATTTACTATAAATTCATACAACTTCTGGAAAATATTTTGTAAAGTACTCGAAATTGTAATTACTTGAGTATTCATCACATATCATCAAATTTACTAAAATACTAAAGCATAAATTCTGAATTTTTTTTCTTTGTTGTGTTAAATAATGAAGAAGATGCCAAATGAGTAGCAAAAAAATACTTTGGCACCTATCTACAAGAACAAGGGAGACATACAAAATTGCGGGAACTATAGGGGTACTAAGTTAATTACAATGAAGCTCTAGGAAAAAGTAATCGAGTTCATGCCAAGGTGCTCAACCATGGATGCAATTTGTCTCTTACGAAGAACGATGGATTTGCACATGATTTGTATAGATTTAGAATAAGAGTACGATAGAGGGTCTCAATAAATATTCTTTCGAGGATTTTAGAGAAGAAAGGAGTATGAGTATCATGTATCTAAGCTATAAAGGATATGTATGATGGAGTAAGGACTGTCGTAAGAACTCATGAAGGACAAACCGAAATTTTCCCCATAACTGTGTGGTTACATCAAGGCTCATTTTTAAGTCCTTACCTTTTTGCATTGCTAATGGATGAGTTGACGAGACATATCCAAGATGATATTTCTTGGTGTATGCTTTTTGTAGACGATATAGTGTTGATAGATGAAACTCAGGAGGGAGTAAATGTGAAGCTTAACCTATGGCGGAAGTGCTGGAATCTAAAGGTCTTCGCCTAAGTAGGTCAAAGACAGAGTATATAGAGTGCAAGTTCAATGAGAACGGAGGTTCAAATGAGTTAGGGATGAGCATTGGAGATCAAAAAGTATCAAAGAGCGAACGTTTTCGCTATCTTGCAAAAGAACAGAGAATTGGATGGAGACCTCAATCATTGAATACAAGCTGGATGGGTGAAGGGGAAGAGTGCATTAGATATATTGTGTGACCGTTGTATACCACTAAAGCTCACTAGAACATTTTATAGGACGGAAATAAGCCATCAATGCTTTATGGCACGAAATGTTGGGTGGTGAAGTATCAACATATATACAAAATGAGTGTAGCAGAGATGAGAATGCTTCGTTGGATGTGTGGGCATATTCTTCGTTGGATGTGTAGGCATATGAGAAAGAACAAGATTAGGAATTAGGATATCCGATGTAAATTAGGAGTAGCAGAAATTGAAGATAAGATAAGAGAAAATTGGCTAAAGGTGGTTTGAACATGTCAAACGAAGACCTACAAACGCTCCAATTAGAAGATGTGATTACCAGACAGAGGCTTAGGCCCAAAGGATAGAGGAAGACCTAGGAAGACTTGAAAATAGACTTTAGGAAAAGACTTGAACTACTTGGATTTAACGGAAGACATGACACAAAAACAAGTGCATTGGTGTTCTAGGATTGATATAGCCGACCCCACTTAGTAGGATAAGGCGTTTTGTTGTTGTTGTTGTTGTATATGTTAAATAATAAATTCACTTAAAATAATGTATAAATCCAACTTCTCAATACAAGTATTGTTGTTTTAAATATAAGTAAGTACTTATTTATATGTGATAATATATCTACTTAATCCACCTAGGCCCCGTCTAGGCGCATAGCCGCTATGCCTTAGGTCCCAGCCCGCTACTCAACTAAGTTAGAATTCTTGATACACCATTGTTTGTATAACTATGGAACCACAAAAAAACAAAAAAAAAAAAAAAAAAAAAAAGAATGGGAAGCAAAGAAGCATAAAATGGCCAAAATCTTCTTAAAAGTGAGAAGGTTGACATTTGTTGATTATTGTGTCGTGGCACTTGTGACCCGTTCTTCAGCATATTTGTGTAGTACTTGTCGTTACAAATGTGTAAGCGTAACCTGAACAGAATTCGAAACTACAATGAAGAGTTTATGAGACGCAAAAAGTCAAGAACAATTTGATAATTATACACTTAGTGGACATATTTGTTTTGTTTTATTTTGCCTTGTTGCATGTGCCACTTCAGACGCACCTCCCTCTTTTATCTCCTGATTTCCCTCTCATTTCTGTCTCACTTTAGTCGCCCCCTCTCTATTGTCAATTTTTTTTTTTGTCTTCCACTTTTAGGGATGGGCATAAAAACCGTGGAACCACAACAAAATAAACCGTAAAAAACCGTGTTGACAAAAAAAAGTTAACGTAGGTTCAAGAACCAAACCAAACCGTTCATACCGATTCTGGTTTTCATGTTGGTAGAATGCTTAGAACCGAACCAGACCGTGAATATAAATAATTAATTAATTTAATAGTTGTATACGGGTGTTACTAAATGAGTGGTGAAAACCAAACTGGTTTTACCTAATAGGACTGCATGAGATCATTTCTCAATTAGGTCTTCCACTTACACGGTTCACCTATTGAGATAATGCACATATTTTAAAAAAGATGTCAGTTTCCCACCTAGATGACATTCTGGTTTCGATTTCATTATTTATTTATTTATTTAGTTTTTTGATAGAGTGATCTTAAGGTGTTCAGTTACATCCCATTTTTTTCTTTCCCTTTTCCTAGGACTTTTTTTAATCTCTTGATAAGTCCCTCTTGGGCTTAAATATTGTATTCATGCTAACATTTTTACTGCATAGTGGATGTGCATTTGTATTATGAATGTTATATGACATTTGAATTGTGTTTCTTTTTTTTTTTTTTTTTTTTTTTGCTTAGTGTCAGCAATATTTGCATTTCGATTTTGTATTTGAAATGATATGTTTTGTTTGTAACTTTGTTTAACCATTTTAGAAGTGGTATTTGAATGCAAGCATGTAAAAAACAAGAGAATAAAAAAAGTAAACTTTGAATACCATTTTGATTTGGTAATCAAATGACTTAGTATTCGGCACGGTAAACCAGCATGGACCGAACCGAAATTGGTGTGGATCAAACCATATGATTTTAGTAATAAATTTAAGTAGAACTGCACTAAATCAAATCGTTGATATTTCCCGGTTCCAGTTCCGTTTTGAGGGCAAAACCGCACTGAACCACACTGTGCTCACCCCTACCCACTTTCTCTCATTCTCTGTCATCGAGTCTCTCTTCTTTTTCATAGAAGTAATGTTAGGGAGATCAAATTTTTTAAATCAAATGATGTGGTTGTAGATGATTGGATTATTGATTAAGTGTCGAGTGACGTGCTTGTTTCTTATTAATGACATATCATTTAGTTTGCAAATTTGATTTAAAAATTTGATATCTCTAACATTATCATTCTCTAAGCCTCTCTCAACGAGTCCGATGATTGTTGAAAAGGTCCCACTGTTTTACACATATTACTGTGATGATATGAGAAGGTCCCACTAATTTACACAAGACAAAGACCGGTACAGCAAGAAACATTGGACAACAACTCTGCAAGCTACTCTGATAGAGAATCAAAGCTCTTACAGGAGCATATATTATTCTACACAAAGAAAACAGAGAAACGCCGGCAAGTGGCCGCCATGCATGTATTTTCTTCAATTGTCCTTGACCCGCAGGTGATCCAAGCAAGGCATCATGTAGGCAGCGGGGCTTGCCTGAAGTTCCATGAATTTCTCATACGTCATTCCAATGTACTTCGCTTTTTCGCCTTCCTTTTCTAGCAACTCCGGGATCGGTACAGCGGGCGTGTCGAGTGCCGGTCCATGTGGTACGGCAATCGATATCCTAGTAGCTGTGTTGTTCACAGTTGCTCGATGCCATATGCTCTTGTACTTGTCGTTTGTTAGAATTTGCATTTGATCACCAACGTTAACAATAAAGGCGCCCGGAGCGGCATTCACCAAGACCCACTGATCATTGTGCTTGACTTCAAGTCCACACATATCATTCTGAATCAGGAGCGTCACTAGTCCATGATCTGTATGTGGAGGAATACCGATTGCCAGGTCGGGCTGTGGACAAGCCGGGTAGTAGTTCGCTGCAAGAATTTGGCAGCCCCGATCCCAGTTCATGACCTTGGTAATGTAATCGGCCTCCAGTCCCAAACTCTCCGATATCCCATTCAATATTTCGGTTGCCACTGCACGGGTTCTTTTGCTGAACTCCAATGAAACTTCACTGTACCCAGCAGGTTTGTAGAGTGAGTTGAATTTGGGGTGTGCGATGACCTTGAGATAATCCCTCCAGAGACGAACTTTGTCAATTGCGACGTTGAAGCTGGTGCCGCACTTGATTGGGTCCAACAGGTTCTTTGTATGGAACTCCTTCTTCTCCTCTTCCGGCAGCTCAAAAAATCTTCGGCACGCGTCGATCATTTCTTTCATCAGGCTCTCTGGTACACCGTGGTTGATGACCTAAAAGGCATCAGGCACATGAAAATATTAATTCATGTTTCATTTTTTAAGTTCAAATTTGAAAACTTATAACTATTTCGGTTTTCAATTTATATTATTTTTTAAAAATAAAATTTTGAAACGAGATGGTTATCAAACTAATAAAATATTAGTTAATTTTATACATATTCAAGAATACATAATTAATAACAAGTGTGAATATACCTGAAAGAAGCCCCATTCTTGGCAAGCTTTTCCTAGCTTCTGGATCATTTGTGCCCGTTCATCTGGGGAGGCAGAGGTGAGAAGAGCAAAATCAATGATGGGGATTGAGTGTTCGGGGTCATTTGCATCTCCCTTATCCTTGGGATCCATGATGTAGGCGTACTCGGAAGGTACAGAAGTGAGAGCATCTGAGTCGGCTAAGGTTTTGATGCTTGCTACCTTGGGTTCAGATGCATCCACTGAAGTCACGGTAGGTGCCATTGGTGGAGGGAGAGAGAAAGAAGCTGAGAATTCTGGTCTTTGATTTGTATATCCTGAAGGAAGGACGTGAGGGAGAGGAAAGTTAATTGTTTGAGTGTTGTGGAGAAATATGAAAAAAGGAGTTGATATTTTATAGAGCATGATAGCTTATGACTTTGCCCCCACAAGCTGGTGGTTTTTGAATAAGTTTGGCCAACGCTGAACTAGGTGTCAAATCTGTTATCCTGCAACAATAAAATATATATTAATTAGTTGTTAACCTACATGTATATGCAACAGATTAATTTTTGGAAGACCATATTATGTAAATCATATTTAAATTATTTCTCTAATAGAGATGAGATATACTTGTATTGAAGACCCTATATCTATTCGATAGATGGTTTATTATCGTCTACAAAGGAAAATGTCAGAGGATCATTTAAATCATGTGATATGTTACTAATAGAAATAAATTCGTTAATCAAGCACTTAAGTAACAAAATAATCATTGACAACCACAAATAGAAATGTGGTCTTTTTAGCATTACCCTTTCTCTAAAATATTAGTGTAAGCACAAAAATTCCTGCCACAAATGAGATATTTACATGTCTGCAATTAGCTCCCCAACATTTTTCTATGCAATAATCATACTACTACTAGATATAGGAAAACCAAAATTTGAGGGGACTGCCTATGGATATGTTATATAATACATTCATTATCTAATAGTACGATATGCAATTGCTACTTAGTACTACGATCTAGTGGTATTCCTCTTCACTTATAAGTGAGAGGTGTTAGTTTTGATTCTCGCTAAATACGAATTTGAACCACATTATTGTTAGTCCATTGTGAAGCTAAACACATCCCAAAAACATGGTATCATTTTTAACCCATAAATGGTGAAAATACTGAATAAATATACATGCCGTAAGTAAACTAATGAAATAGTGAAAAAATACTTTATTTTGTTTTATGTTCCCAAGTGGAGGAGAGATGGGAAGAGTGATAGTGAAAAAATGCTTTATTTTGTTTTATATTTCCAAGTGGAGGAGAGATGGGAAGAGTATATGCATGAATGAATAATTGATGAGAAAATTAGAAAAAATGTAGGAATACATTTGGCATGGGGTTTAAAGAAATCCAAAGTCGCGTCCAGTTTGAGACTTTGACTCGGCAGACAAAGCCACTGAAGGCAGCACAACAAGCCTCCCACCACAGCCAAGTAAAAGAATATGACACGAAATATGGCACAAAAAATCAAACACAATCATGCATCGGCATCTGTACGCGTCTACAATTCCAAATCTAAATTACCCCCTGGCCTTGGGAGTTTCTGCCGTTTGGATGCCCACCAGTAGGTAAAAGATTCTTCATGTCCCAGCTTAATATTTTTTCAAACATTGAACTTGAATGAGAATGATGCAATCCATATTTCTATGAAACCTCTCTTTTGTTTGGTGAACCACATATATGGCTAAAACCTTTTGAATGTGAATATGCTTGAACTTTCATTTCTCGGAATAAAACAAAATCTTAAAATAATATTCTGGAGAGTAGGCTTTCATAGTTTGAAGAACACATGCGAAAATACTCCAAATTAATTCAGAATGCACGCAATACACTTTTGCATAAATTAAATGTAAACCTAAGTTTATATTTCGTTCAAGGGACTATCCCTTCCAGAATGTAACCCCACACAAGTCAAAGTGACATCATTTGCATCCATTTCTCTATGTAGGGACGTCATCTTCCCTTTAAACTGTAACTCCAGCTTTAAGTCTCTATGTGAATTCACTCGAGAAGGTTCTCTGGCGAAATAGATAAAATGACCATGTTAGAACCTACCATAGAAAAGCAGAGTAAAATTTTCTCTTCTTCTGTTCTCTTTCCTTTCCCTTGCTTCCTCTCATACTTTCATTTTTGTCTTTATCCCTCTATTAAAAAAAATTTAAGCTGATGATCGTTGGATTTCTAATGGCAACGTGCAATCCACTGAGGCAAAACCCTCGAATTCAGCCGTTAGATTTCTAATGGTCTTCTCATCTAGACCATTGGATTTTCAAAAATAAAAAACTTGAAAATTACAGTTTATGCCACGTCGCACAATCTGGTGCATCTAATTTAATTTTTTTTGAAAATCAACGACCAAGATTAATCCAAAGGTAAAAATTCCACAAGATGTTAAAAAAAAAAAATACAAAATTTTGTTTAGTAACACATTAACACTCAAACAAACTCACAAAGTTCAACCTTATTCTTTATTCATCTTTTACCTTTAATTAATTATGCTTGTTTGTAATACAATGTTTTGCTTGGTTTTCGAGATGCTAAATTCCAACTATACTATGATTTTCCAATTTGTTTTCATTTTGAGTAATGCTATGGAGACTACACTTTTATATTACATTTATTGTATCATCACATGTAACAAGTGATGCATACAATCAACACTTAATTTAACAAAAATAATGCAGTCCTTATCTCTATAAAACCTCTCTTTTGTTTGGTGAACCATATATGTGGAAAAGGATCTTCACTAGATCCTTGCCAGATCCTTTTCCTAGGGATCTAGAAGATACTGTGATTGTGACCGTTTATCGTACATAGTGCGGTAAAAAATCATTTAAAATTTAAAATTTAAAATAAAATATAAATAGTACCTTACAAAATCATTTGAATCCCTAAAAAAAAATCCAGCGATAAATCATTTTCCCATATATATACCTAAAGCCTTTTGAGCGGGAATGCGTACATACTAATTGGATTCTTGAAATTTCATTTCCTGCAATAAACAAATGTAATCCCACTGACATCATTTGCACCCATTTCTCTATGTTGGAACGTCATCCTAACTTTTAATTTTAACTCCTATTAGTCTGTGTGATAGTGTGAGTTGACTAGGAAAAGCTTCTCAGGAGAATAAGGCAAAATGATCGTATCAAAATCGGCTATAGAATCAACAAGCACTGAACTTCTTGGGAAAACACATCACCTACATGTTCACATAGCATTTAGCCTCACGCACCAGCTGCCGAGGACGCGAATGTGAGGCCACTGGATTTTCCATGTTAAAAAAAAAAATGAAAAATTATAAGTTGTGCTACATTGCATAATGAGGTGTATTTGATTTAGAAAAATTTTAAAAACTAACGGCCATAATTAATTCAAGGCAAAAAATTAAAAAAAAAAATGCAAAAAATTCCTAAAAGATACAAAATTTTGTTCTAGAACACACTTAAAATTAAACACACTAAAACAAACTGATAAAGTTCAGCCATCTTCTTCATTCACATTTGATCTTTAATTTATGCTCACCTATTTTTCTATAAATGTGTTTTCAGGCGGTGTAGGGTTGACTAGCTGAATTTCGAGTTGCAGCTCTAGTCTGGACTAGTAGAAGGGAGTCTAGATGTATATCTTTTGGGTGAGCTACCAAAGTGTTTGTATAGTTAGTCTTAGTTTGTAAATGATCTTTTTGTTGCATTGTAGACTAAGAAGGCGTAGGCCACAATGGGTTACTGTCTCTACCTACTTGGGCAATGAAAACCATGTATATATAATTACTTGTCTTTTGGCTTGTATAATTTATGCTCATGTACATTTTCATCAAATGACCTGAATATGTTTTTCTTGTAAGAAGCCTTCAAGGTCTTTTATGAACTCGTTATAATCTGTAAGGCTTAATGAATTGCCTTTGGAGAACCACTATGAACTTGGTTATGTTTAAAATTGTGGGTGTTTATCTACTACCTAGGTTGCATTTTGAAAATTTCAGATTTTTACCCTTTGGAACATAATCAGCTTTATTTTCAAAGTGACTTGGTGCTGCTAAAATTGTTTTTTTTTTTTTTTTGAAGAAAAACAGCAGCATGCCTGTTTTAGATTTCCATTTTCCTATACTTCCCGAACTCGAAAATCCTTGAAATTTTAACACAACTTCGTTTTAGGTGTCTAATTTGAATCTGGAAAATTTCATACTTTTTAGTTAGATGACTTATTTTTGGTGAATTTTACGGTACTTGTTGTTTCTGCAGTTTGTATTACAGCAAGAAGTCTTTAATTCTATTTCTTTAAGTTACCTTTGTAGTTTGGTTTAATGTATTTGTTGAGTTTAAATCTTCATTGACATAATCTTAAGCTAATATTTGTTTTACACCCTTAAACAACATTTTTATTCTATTTATTTCTCTTAATCTCACACCTCGAGTTTTGGGGTGTGACATAACCCCACACAAGTCAAAGTGACATCATTTGCACCCATTTCTCTAAGTAGCAACGTCATCCTACATTTTAACTTTTAACTCCTGCTTTAAGTCTCTATGTGGGTTGACTGAAAAAGGCGCGAATCAGACAAAATGACCATAAATACGCCCATAGAAAAAGCAACTCCATAGAGAGAGTTTTCAGTATGACCTGAACAAGGGGTGGTACTCCACTTGTGCACTAAATTCCAGTAATGTGTGTGGTTGACTTACCTCCAACTCAAAAAAATCATCTTCACTAGTGGTAGATCTAGAAAATATTATTTGGGAGGGGGGAAGGGGGAGGGGGTGGGGAACCGAGAGGAGGGGTTTAGTAAAAAGAGAGCACGCGTCACACAAAATCTTTTAGACAAAAATAGCATGCAAATTACCATTTCATCAACTCTTAGAAGACTTGAAGTCATTTGCAGAGGCATATTGCACACCTGTTAAGGCCTCAATTGCATGGGTAACTACATGTTCCAAGACTACTCCCATATGAATGCTTAATTAAGGAACACACTTATCTTGAACACACTAACAAATTGATTGATATCATTGCATCTCGTTAATATGTTTGTTCAAGAATGAGATGCTTTGTTCATTCTTTGAGATTACCATTTCATTTACTTTGCATTTTTGGATAGTCTTTTACTTCATTCTTACTTTCATCCCACAATTGTAATCACAACCAACAAACAAGTTAGAGGCAAACAATATTAGGACTAGACTGTAAACAAAAAATTTCGACCAACTATAATTATAAAGAAGTATAAAATACTAATAATAGGAGTTGAAAGGTGCGGCAAGCAGCATAATTGTTGTGCGCAAAACATCCTTTGTGCTATGCCCAAATTTAAGCATGCCCTGCAACCCAGTAGTCCAAGCTCCTCTCTATGGCATTTTATGAAGCAGTTGGAAGACATATATGAAGGCAACTCCAACCTTCAAAAGGGCAGCACCTAAGTCATCCATGGAGATTCAACGAAGTTTGGAAGATCAGCTGACCTCCCTTGCCCTTAAGTAGGTTCGCCTCTGATCTCCACCGTTTCAAAGTCATTGAGACAATTAAAGTAAAGGCAATATCCCAGTTTGTTCAAGCTTGACCTTGCGCGTACGGACAATTGGAGCAAGGGCAGTAGCCCATTAGGCTACCCTGCCTGTTCAAGCATGACACGCCCCGAACCCTGGTCAGTAATAAAAACTCAAACCTGAATCCGAAACGTGAGTTAAAAGCTAAATAAATAAGAGGAAAATTGACACAGGTTGGAAAATGAACTCCTCTTATTAAAAATAACTCCAAAATCCTTACAAGGTGTACATCAGTAATAAATTATATCCTTAAATTTCTCCTCAATCACAACCTCAGCTCTTAAATTTCTCCTCAATCACAACCTCAGCTCT